TAGAAAATAATATCAAGCCGGAGAGTGCACACAGTAATATGACGTCATTGATTCTCGAGTAAACTTTGAATAAAAAGGCAATTTTGTCTAATCTAAGTGGTTTGCGTGAAGAGTTTCTTTCATACAATTCTTTGGGTAGGGGCGAAGCCCCTCCCCCGCGTAAGAACGTCTGAGCCCCCCCCCCTCCCCAACTCAAAAAAAATTTCTTCATCGATACTCTATAATAAAATTATCGCCTAATTAATGTGTCTAATCTAAAAAGTGGTTTTCTTGCGATTTCTTTAATGCAATTCTTCGCGTAGTGGCTAAGCGCGGACACCAGTGTTTCTTTCAGACTTTTTCCTCCCCGGAGGGGAGAACTTTTTCTAATCTAAAAAGTGTTTAGCGTGCAGTTTTTTTTCAAGCATCTCTTCCGGTAGGGGCGAAGCCCCACCCAGATTCTTCCTTTAGTTTGTATGATCTACAAATGCGACCAGTGTTTCTTTCAGACTTTTTCCTCCCCGGAGAAAGGTGGGGGTATTTGAAATTTTCGGGGGCGGGGGTAGAATTTTCTTGGAGGGGGGCGGACACTGGAAAAAGTATATAATTATATTTCGTTGAATGGGACGGTAGACATGTTTTGGAGTGTGTGTGTGGTGGTGGGGGGGGGGGGGGGGGAGGGGGGCGAAGCCCCCTCCTCCCAAGTAGAGTTGCCTGAAAGGAAACTCTTAATGCGACTTTTGTCATTGAGATAAGGTGCATGTTTTAGAGATATGCCTATGACTATATTTTGAATAAATTAAAGTACCGAGAAAATAGACAGCACTATCAACCTAGAGCCCGTTGTATCCTCCCTCAACGGGCCATTTTTCTCGTATATATATATATATATATATATATATATATATATATATAATATATATACATATATATATATAAACATATATATATACACATATATATTTATATATATATATATATATATATATATATATATAGATATATATATATATATATATATATATATATATATATATATATATATATATATACGTATAATACATTTTTATTTTAGGTGTACCTATACACTGGAATTTTGTTGGTGGAAATGCGCCAAAACTTCGAAGTAGTGAGTGTCAATTTGTTTTAAAAAAGTAACAATACACTAGATTCACATTTAATCACGTCATCATATGGCCCGAGAAACAAACACAAACTATTTGGATATTTTTTGTGTCTGGAAACAGTCCCCAAAGAGAGGTTTGACCCATGGGGGCGCGCGCTGGAGATTTAGATTTTTAGATCAGTGGGATTAGCTCGTACTGTGATTTCTCCCTCGGTCTTTGCTGGTGCGGTACAAAGCACTGGCAAGGTTTACGTCGGTGCCAGTTTCGTTTGCAGGAAGTTACCGAAAGGAACCAAAGATGGTTATCCTTTCGCGAAATCCCTTCCACCTTGACCTCAAGAGTTTTTGTCAAAAAAATTTATTCCATGCAGGGGCGTAGCGAGGGGGGTGCGGGGGGTGCGGACCGCACCGGGTGACACCATTTAGGGGGGTGACACCAAGGCAAAAAATAGCAAAATATATAGAGAAAAACTTGAGGGGGGGTGCAAATCGAAAACTTGAGGGGGAGGGGGGTGCAAATCGAAAGTTTAGGGGGGGGGGTGCAAATCGAAAACTTGAAAGTTTGTCCCCGGGAAGGGTCGCTACGCCTCTGGGGGTGACACCATTAAGTGCCGCACCGGGTGACACCCGACCTCGCTACGCCACTGATTCCATGTATGGGAAAAAAAATTCTTGTAGGTGTCTTCAGCTAGTATACAAAGTTTCATCTCTATCGATTAAGAATCATGGGAATTAGGACATTTGTACAAGTGTGTAGAACAGGGTCTCCAAACTTTTCCAGCCCGAGGCCACATTAAACTATTAAATATCAGTTAGGGGGCCAGGGGTTTCTTTCAAGCATCTCTTTGAGGTGGTTGTTTCCCCCCCCCCCCCCCCCGTGGGCCGCCCCCCCCCCCACGCTATATAATTTATATAGACATATATACACCTCCCCCAGGAGAAAATGTCTGAAAGAAACACTGTCGGGGGCCGACAACACACTCGTGGTCTAAGTTTGTTCTTTTTGGCAAACACAAAAACCCACCCGCCATTTTTTAAACTTGTCCCTAAGGAAGTAATTGGCTTGCAATTCAATGACCTCCATCTGCAGTTCATCTGGGCAACTGGTTACATTTCCTTCAATTGGGATTGAAACAGTCCCCACTTCTTCTGCCTGTGAATCCTAGTCAGAAAACGGCTACTGAAGCTGCAGCTGGAGGTCTTTGATGATCTCGAAGGCAAATGATGTAAGGAACCTTGCACTGCAGAAAGTGCGTCAAGTTGCTGCCCTGTACTTGTTCCAAACACATGAAACAGCTGTCCAGCGACTCATCCATTGCAATTGAAAAAATGCGAAACTTGTTAGCAGTTTTCACTGTTTGAGTCACAATGTTTTCATTAAACGTCTGCAACGCG